CCTGGGGTTGTAGGCTCGATCCCCAGTAGAGGGTGTGCATGAGGCAGCCAATCGATGTTCCACTCTCACATCAATGTTTCTCTCTCTCTCCTTTCCTCTCTCTCTAAGTATCTATAAAAATATTCCTTTTAAAAAAGTCAATGAAATGAAATCAATAAAGACATCATAAAAAGTGTGTTCATTCTAAGTAGCTTAACTCAATTTTTAAGCCTTAAATCTATTTAAGATTCCCCCTCATCCTAAAACATGTAACACAGCAAAAGCCATCATACTTTCATATATGCTATTCCATTTGCTTAGAACTTTTTCTATGTCCAGCTCATTCTCAGAGGCCCCTCTTCTGTGCTTCTAAAACAGACGATACCTACAATACAGGGAGACAAATAATGTATCATTCAAATTGGGATGCTACGTCTATCACCACACTCATGGCAGGGAATTATAATTATGTGGCTCCCCTGCTTTGCCATAAGCTCCTTGAGATCAGGGCACTGTTTTAGTCATCACTGTATCCCTGAGCCTCTAACGGTTGCCTGATATTTGGTTGATAATCAGTTTTTAAATGAATAAATGTTAAAGCAGGTAAGTTTCATTTTGCTTATCAATTTTTGCATTATTTCAATCATGGAAACTTTTATATAAAGGGTGGGGCAAAAGCAGGTTTACAATTGAGGGTTTGTGAAACAGGACTTATTCTTGTATTATTATTTATTTTATTCTTTCCCCAAAGGTAAACCTACCTTTGCCCTACCTTTTTGTAGTGGCCAAAACTTTCTAAGCCCCCCAGAGTCACCCCATTCTCAAACTGCCCCATATGGGAAGTAGAATGCCCTGCCCTTCCCCACCTCCTCTTCCATCTGCTAACTCCCACTACCTATCAGGGCAAGCCCTTCCATTACACTAAGATTTAAGGCGGGGATAGAGCTCTTCAGTTTTCTCTAAAAAGAATTACGTACATCTCAGACAACAAATAGAGAATCTGGTTGGTGATCTAATTCTTTAATTTTCCAATTTTGTTTAGAAAATCATTTTAAACTCAAATTAGAGTAGTGTAAAAAACATGCATGTCTCGCCCGGCCTGTGTGGCTCAGTGGATTGAGCGTTGTCCCATGGACCGAGAGGTCCCGGTTCGATTCCCGGTCAGGGCACATGCCTGGGTTGTGGGTTCAATCCCTGCTAATGGGTGTGCAAGAGATAGCCGATCTATGTTTCTTTCACATCGATATTTCTATCTCTCTCTCTTCCACTCTATCTCTAAAAAATTAATAAAAACATGTTTTAAAAACAAACAAAAAACAATGCAAATAAAACAATGTTGTGATTAAACGTGTATGTACTATTACGGTGTTTTGTTTTCAGAACATCAACTACTTCACAGCTCATTCTTCTTAAATATACCAGGCTAAGTAATAAGTGATTCTGTACTTTCACTAAGATCCTTGTAGTTACTATACAAGCCACAATATAAATATGATTAGAAATCTATTAAATATGTTCTATCTCCTTCCATGCCACACCTGAAAACCACAGTCATTAATACCCTTCTTTCCTCTAATTTCCCTTCCCTGATATTTGGCATGCTACCTCTGAATAGAGGAACACCTCATTCCGTATCAGCACAGGATATCTTGGCAGTGGTCTTCATGGCAAGTATACCCACTCCTTCCCAACTATTATTTATGAAATTCCCTAAAGTGCAAGGGTTTCGTTTTGTTTTAATGAGTTTGGCTGGTATAAATCAACCAATGAGAACTGGACATCAATGTTAAAAAAGTGTGCCCCATCCGGCTGGACTCAACAGTTAGAGCGTCCGCCCATTGAGCAAAGAGTTTAGGGTTCAATTCTGGCCAAGGGCATGTATCTCGGTTGTGGTTAGATCCCAAGCCCTGGTCTGGGTCCTGCGGGAGGCAAGCAGTCGATGTGTCTCTCTCACATTAATGTTTCTCTCCCTCTCCCACTCTGTCCGAAAATGAATGGAAAAATATCCTTGGGTGAGGATTAAAAAAAAAAGTGGGAGAACTAGCTCTAGCCCACCAAGGTACAGTAAGCACTTCATAAGGACAGGCCTAAAATAGCGGCCCTGTTATATTTAAACTCTCACGTCTGTTACCTTAATCATAGCATTTCTTTTCTTTTCTTTTTGTGGTATGTGCCCCTAGTGGGAACCGAACCTGGGACTCTCTGGTCTGCAGGCAGACGCTCAACCACTGACTCAAGGGCTAATCATAGAATTTCAAATCAGCCCAATGCAAAACATTTCCTTTTCCTCTACCTGGCCAATTATCACCAACCTGAGTAGTGAACAGAGAACATGAGCCCACGAATCATCTGCCAGGCCATCCCTAGGCAGGGTGAGGCATACACACACAGCAGTACAGTTATGATCAAATCTTGCCTTCTTTCATTTTAAACAAGAAATTGACTATTAACAGTGATTATCTCTGCAGAGTGGGAGTCAGAATGACTTTCATTTTTATATTTTATGTACTTTGGTGTAGGTTGAATTTTTACAAAGAAAATGGATTTTATAATAAAGTATTTCCATTTTGAGAAAAAAAAGGTACACGAATCATTTTTAATTTGTTTCACATAAGAATATTAGAATAGTCCTGGCCATTGTGGCTCAGTTAGTTGGAGCATCATCCCATACAACAAAAGGTCACAGGTTTGATTCCCTGTAAGGGCACATATCCAGATTTTGGGTTCGATCCACCATTGGGGCACATGTGGGTGGGAGGCCACAGATTGATGTTTCACTCTCACATTGATATTTCTCTCTCCCTCTCCCTTCCTCTGTCTCTAAAATCAATAAAAGCATGTCTTTGGGTGAGGAGTAAAAAAAAAGTTTTTCTGAAAGAGTATCAGAATAGATAACAAAGTGATTTCAATATTTTATGGTAAAAGATATTAGCACAAGAAGAAACTATCAGGACAAAACATCCTATAGAGACCAAAGTGACCTCTCAAGCAAATGTTTTTCTAATATACCTCGATTTTTTTGTGAAGACAACAGATTGTAGCTTAAAAATAAAAATCTATGAAACATTTTCTGCATTTTATTCCAAATGGTTTCCTCCCCTTTGGGTCAGAAGGTTAATAGCAAAGGCTGGAGGAGGAGAGGCCTGAAAGCAGACACTTCTTTTCTCCTGTACATTAGAATGGGAAGTGGTGCTAAGTACAAAAATATAGCAGTGCTAAAGCAAAATCCAAACACAAGGTCAAGAGCAAGTGGCTGAGACTGTGTTCATGCCCTGCTAAGGTCCTGGTTAAACACGGTTTCTCTTTTCTCTGACAATGATGCACTAGCCTCCACCCCAAAGTAGGCCACTATATAGGAGTGGGAAGAATAGAAAGGCTTCAGGAGAGACTGGTCACCCTGAGTTATTTTACAAGATGAAAATTTGGTTGTAATGGACAAATCTGCTTTTAAAATGAATATAAGATGTTATTTGAAGGCTCTACTGCAGGCTGTCTTTATTAATCTTTGGAAAAGCATTTCACTTCCACTATGCTTTAATTTTCTCTATTTAAAATGACGAAACCCCTGTGATTTCATCAACAAGTACCAGTTCCTAAATGTCTAAGCTTGAATTTGTACTCTTACCTCTCAAGCGTTCTCATTCCAGGCTATATCCATTTGTTTCATATGTAACGTTTATATACTCCTAATTTTCTCTATTAAAATTCTGATGTGGGGGGGGGTGATGATGAAGCCCCCATTTAGCTCCCCCAAACCATTCAGTTATTATTGAAACTTTATCAGTTATCCAGCAAGTGATTCAAAGGTACGTTTTGAGGTTCAAATGGCCAGTCCTCAATCAAGCGTCATCTTTTTGTATTACACTTCTCCCCATCATATCCATTTGCACTGACAAAGTTTCATAGAACCTAATTTCACCGTTTCAAATAAGGCAGGTGACTGCTTTGAAATTATCATGAGAACTGCATCCTTCACCAAATCTGCTCCAGAGTGGCTTGAACTCCGGCTCAAGAAACTGATTATAAGTCTCCTCAAAAAACCTGGGACCACTCCTCGGGTTCCAGGGTCAAAGAGAAAATTGTTCCTGGAATAGTTTTCCTGCCACTTAGGCCAGGGGAGAATCTGCGTGTACCTACCACGCTGATTCAGGAATATTATTATCCACATACCAATGCCCTACTGTCTCCAGAAAACATCAAGGACTTTCACCAACATCTCCCCTACTCTCCTAATCTGGAAAATGTCATGTCAGCCTTTCAGATCATGTAGATAGAAGGGAGAGTGGGAGGGTGGCTGAGCTCTGATCCAAGCCTACATATTTCAGAGGTAACGACTCTCGATCTACATCCAACACATTTACCGAACACTAGGAGAACTTCTAGTAAGTGCCCACCACTGGAAGCGAAAGCACTTTTTCCCAGGAAAGAGATCTTTTCCACTGAAAATTCCCAAACCCGAGACCTAACACTTTCTACTGAACAAAAAGCTTGTGTGCCGGCAAGAGGGGGTGGGAAAGAGCGTGGCAAGAATTTGCAGGGCTCTTACGCCTCCTCCCTCGGAGCGCGCCCAAGTCTGCGGCCTCAGGCTCCGGGACACTTCTCCTCCCACCCGTCGAGGAGCCGCAGCTGTAAGTTGAGCGAAGCGGGCTCCGGGCACGTCAATCAACCAGGTCCTCCCGCCTTCCGTCTACACCTCCCCTCCCTGCCCCCCACCCCCCAAAATAAAGCAGAGAAAGAAAGGGAAAAGAAGATAACAGATGTGGGAACTAGTCTCCACTGGGGCTTCTCCTCCGACCCAGGGAGGCCGCGCGTCCCCGACCGGGCGCGCCAGCGGACGGCGGGATCGAGCAGGCGGCCCGGCAGCCGCCGGTCGCCAGGTCCTTACCGCGCGTCCGCCGCGCTCAGGCTCCCCGCACGGGTCGGCGCCAGTCCGATACCGCACTTCGCCAGGCCCAGCGGCCCGCCGCCCTGAGGCGCGGGCCAAAGTTGCGCAAATAGTCTCACAACTGGCAAATACTCACCAGCCGCAGCGGGAACCGGGGTTGCGGAGATTTTACGTAGTTTAAGGCAAATCAGCCACGCGAAAGGCGGGCGGAGGCGAAGGGGCCGCGAGCTGCAGTGGCGGCGAAGCGCGGCGCTCGGGCTGGGCTGCGCGGAGAGGTTCTGGCTCTGCCAGGGACTGTGCTGCAACAAAGGACTTCCGCTGCCGCACAGCCGCGCCTGCCGCACCGCACTGAGCCGGCCCCGCTTACGCGGCGACTTCGGGTCTGCCCACCAGTTCGCTGCGGCGTCCGCCAGCCTTCCCCTCCCTCTCGCCCGCCCACCCACTCCGCCGCTGGCTGCTAGGGGCACCCGCGGTCGCCTGTTGTTGCAACAAGTTTCTGCGTCGGGCTCTGAGCAGACTGGCGCAACCCGCACCGCGGGGGCCGGCGCGGCGGCGGCTTGACCACCCCTCTTGCCCCTCTCCCAGGGGTCGGCTTGGGACCTCCTCCTCCTCCCGTTTGCACAGCTGGATGGGACTGGGCTCCACCCGACTCCCCAAGGACTGGATGCTGCTTTCCCACTCCGTCCAGATGTCAGACCCCTGCCCGGGAGGACCCAGCAGCTGGGCCCTCACTCGCGGTACTTTGCGGGCGTGCTAGGGGCGCCAACACCCTCACCCAGTCCCGGACATGGCCAGTCAGTCCGTTCAGGGTCGCCCATTCCCCACACTACCCCCACCCTGCCTTCCAGGGGCCTGTCGGCCTCTGGCCTTGAGTCACTTCCCCCGCCATGCCCCACCCCGCCCAGCCCGCCTCCCCGCCTAGGCTCCCGCGCCTTAGCATCCCTGGCCCCGCGTCCTCATCACTCTCCCCTTGGACCCCCGGGCACATCTTTCCCCACCCACGCTCCCGAACTGAGAGGTTGCCCATGATTTTGCACACCCTGGGGAAAGTCCCCGGGTCACGCGGTTGTGTGTGGGAAGCCTGTAACGCCCAGGCTCATCTCCACGCTTCCGCCTACAGTCACGATTGGGGACTGTGGCAGACGCGCCTGAACGCGGGCCGACCCCCTCCTGGCCACTTGAGCGGGCGGGCGGGTTCGCACGTCAGCACGCACGCACACTCGGCCCCTGCGCCCTTAGCTCGCGGCTACCGGGCGCGCGGTCACGTGGGCCCATCACGGGGAGGCCGGCGCGGGAAGCCGCGCGAGAACGGACCACGGGGTGCGTGAGCCGGCGCCGCCGCGTGACGTTGGCGGCGCGGGAGCCGCCCCTCCCGCATGGAGGAGCCGGCCGGCCGCCGCGGCGGCGTCTGGGTAAGCGACGCGGCCCGGCCCCTGTGGGCTGCTCCAGGCTCAGTCCCTCCCGCCGCGAGCCGCTGGGGGCGGCGGCGGCCTGCAGCTGCGCCAGTCGCGGAACAGATGCAAGTAGCTGGGGAGAGGGGTGTTTTTGGTCCGTTTTACATGTCAATCAGGGCAAGGAGGAAAATGGCAACCGCGAGTGAGCGCTGGTGCGAGGATGCCCAGAGCCGCCTTCACTGCGCGCACAAGGCCGTTGTCGGGGCCTGACGCAGGCTAGGATCGCTCGCGAGGACGCCTGCTGCAGGCTGGGCTGCGACCCCGCACAAGCCCCGACTGGCGTTTGGCGTTCCGCGGGCGATCGCGCCGACCCCTCTTGCGAGTGGGCGGGTTTCCAGGTGCAGCCTGCCAGAGGCCAATGTCTTCCCTCTCCCTTCCCACCCCCATTTGTGATTACTTTGTTTCTAGAGCAGGAAGTACCCCTCCCGTCCCATAATTCATTTCTTTCTTTTTTCAGATTATATTAATCTCATTCTAAGCATATCCAGTTTTTCTTAAAGTCTGCCCCATTTATCACTTCCTTCCCTAGCTAGCGCTCATTTGGAGAAAGCAATCTGTTTTCAAGCTGTTTAAGCAGCCCCTGGCACTGTACCTGGAACTTGACAGCAGCTAACATGTTTCATAAATTAACGCCGGGTTCCCCTCCAGGGATTAAAGTTGGCATTCATTTTCTTGAGAATCGCGTCTTTTTGGTGATGCTATTCGTTATCACAGGATTTTGCCAAGTGTAAAGTACACTTTGTAATCTCAGATTTTAAAGCTAAAAGGGGCTTTATAGAAAATGCAGTTCATCCCTCTTATTTTACAGATGAGGACACCCGGCCAAAAGAGCAAGTGTGTAACTTGATTGAGGTCCTGCACCTCTTGAGTAAGCGGACTCAAGGTCTCCGGACACCTTGGTCGCTGTGCTGTCTACCACACCAGGAGTGCAATGCCAGTAACCCACTCACTATAGAGACTGTCAGAGGTGATTATACTTGGCTTGATCCAGATTCTTGAGAAATTAGACTTTGCCAGTGTGTGATAGTTTTGGTATTTTAAGAAATGGGGTTGGCACTATTTCTAGACGAAATAGAATGGCTATGATGTACTTTGAAGCTCAACCCACGCCCTTACCCCCATAAAACCTTGTTCTCTGCAAGAATAACCAACATTTGCAGCGTTGGTTGCTTCCTTAAGGTTAAGACATCAAAGCCCTCTTTAGCAATCTGGATATGTTTTAATTAAGAGTATACTGTTAATCCATTATCAGACATAAGCTCTTTAATAGGGAACAAAACAATGATGGGATAGGACATGGAATAGATTAGTACTGATGGCTGGGAGGTTATCAGGAAGCAGTGAAACGTCACAGGGACGGTCAGCAAAAGAGGAGGGAGGGATCTCATAGGACCTGCTACACCTTTTTGCCCAGCCCTGCCCTGAATATCTTATTTGGAGGTGGTGAAGATGGATTCTTCTTAGGTTTGGTTGCTGTTAATTATTAAGTACCTGCAATGGCTAGCTGCTTTCATAGATGAATTTCTTATACCTTCCAAAAGGAGGTAGTATTGTCTCCATATTACAAACAAACAAGGAAACAGGCTGAGAGAGATTCACTTGGCTTCAGTGTTGCAGCCATTTGCAGTAAAATTCAAGCCTAGATCACTTATTTCCTGAGTCTAGTCTGTGCTCTTTTGCACAGACTATATCTCACTACCACTTCAAGCCAGGAAGGGGATGAGAGAAATCGCCTGTGGCTGATTTATTGGCGCCTGTGGTTGCCCAGAGAGGCTGAGCAGGACTTTCAGCTGCCCTCTGTGCCTTAGAAAGTGGAGCTGTGTGCTTCCACCCTATCTCCTGAGGGGAATACGAAGGAGCCAGGCTGTCTAGCTCTGGGGAGGAGGGGCCCAAGTGCCTTGGCTGTAAAATATCCTGGTGAGGGCTGTGCTGGGAAGTGTTGCATAATGCACTCCCCACCACTGAACCAAAGTGATTTATTTACTGTGGTCTGTAGGTGCTGCTTGACCATCTTGTAAGAAAAACTTGTCCATTTTAGTAATAACAGGGCCAGAAAAGAGTTGGGAGTTTTATATTATTGCAGAGATGTCTTTTTTCTTTTCTTGTCTTACAAAAGTGCAGGTGCTCTTATCTTGATAAATTATAAAGTACTTCTGCACCACTTCCTGTGCTCCCCTTCTGCTTATTTATTGCAAATTGCATGTGAACTTCAGTCTTTTGATAAAAGAACGCTAATGAAAATACTACTTCAGTTTATAGTTGCTAGCACAGGCTGTGGAATCAGACCTAACTTTTGATCCCCACTTTATACCACTTGCTAGTTATGTGTCCTAAATCTTGGTTTTCCTCATTTGTAAAATGGAAAGAAGAACACATATAGTCACAGTCAGGATTAAAAGAGATAATGTACACAGAGCACTTAGCACAAGGCCTTGCACATAGTATTTACTCGTTACAGTAGTTATTGATAATAACTAGAAGAGTATTATTCCCTCTAGGATAGGAAAGATATTATCGCTACTTAAACTTGCTTAGGGAGAGTGGAGTAAGAGGAAATAAAGTGTTTGAAGCAACCATCAGTTTCAGGGTTATTGACTGAATTTATTAATACTTCTGCTTTCCCTTTGCTAGCAGGAATTTTTCTTTTAATCTTATCTTTAGAAAAAGTGTTTGTAGTGTTGTTATTTTTGGAATCTTTCTAATTTACCTCTTCCCTGGTTACAAATCAATATACAATGACTTTTTGTTCCTTCTGAAAAACTAGACACTTTAAGCAAAGGGTCTCATTAGCCCATGTGGATAATGTGTTTGTGGAACGTTCTGTGGCAAAGGAAGTATTGGTTTACTTATATTCAGAAGTTATAATCACTCTTGTTTGTACTGTGTTCTAGATCTGTACTAGCACTGTTGTTTTCCAGCTTTCTCCCGTCCTTTTAGTACCTTATTTTTTTCTTTCAGAGATGCAGTCTTTTTTTTAGTAGACTAAGAAGAATCTTTTCCTTTCCTTCACAAGATTCTGATTTTTTTTTAAGGTCCACTAGCACTTTGCACTGACTGGTGTTAGCATTTTTGTTTGCCTAGTGCTGTGGCTTTATCAGGCATCCCACATGTTGGTTAGATGGGGGTTAGAGATGTGGTATAGGCTGGCTGTGTCTGCCAACAGGCAGGAGGCCCCAAACTAACGTTTCCTTGTTCCGTTAAAAGTTTTTAGAGCATAACTCTCTTCCTGTATCATCTACCATGTCTGCTTCCTGCCCTCTTCTGTAATATTCTCAGTGATTTTTATAAGCTGATGCCTAGAATTACTGCAGATCTTACCTCAACCATTATTTTCAGATTTGGAATTTCTACATCATTTTAAGAAATTATGAAAATAGGTGTAATAGTGTATGAGAGTAAATATCTCTTTTTCCTAAATATTTTTTAAAAAGAAGTCTAAAAATGGTATGTTCCTTCTCTTCCCCCATTGCCCATCTTACTAGTTCGGGAGCACTTTTGTTTCTTAATCTGGCTAATTTTTTAGTTTAAAGTTACAATGAGAATTAGAATTGTTGATTTTTGTTCACTTAATGTAATTGGTATAATTCCCACATTTTGAGCACTTCTTGTGAAGTTGTTTTGTTTTCTCTGTAATTTTAGAGTGTGAAATATTTTCTAGAGTTTCTTTGTCCCCTCTTTTTCCAGTGCAGTAGCTCTTTACTGAGGTATCTTAGAAATGCCTGCGGAGGTTTTTAAAGAAGAATCTGTGCTTCATCAGCAACAATTGCATTTGGGTTAGTCTGGAGCAGGACTCAGGCAGTACAACTGTACATGAAAAGTTTTATAATACAGTCGGCAATAAGAGCCACTATTCCAGGATAAAATTACTTCTGCAAACATTCTCTAGGTTATACCTTCACAAAATCATGTGAAAGTATCATTAAAAGTTAAGATCATTGTATAAAATCTTTTATCATGTGGCAGTTTGAATATCTCTGCTTTTACCTTTGCATTTATAGCTATGAATGAGTATCTCAAAATAAGCTGTACACATTCTTCTGCCAACTTTCCTGTCTTCTTAATGATTTATAATAAAGGCACAGTGGTAGGAACCACAGAGAAAATACCTAAGACTATTTGTTTTCTACAGAAACAAATGACGCACTCCTTTTTTTTTTTGTTTTTAAGATTCTTACAGCTTGAGAGCATGAAAGGCTGTGTATTCCAGGACATCGTTCTGGCTACCAGTGTAACTAATACAATAATTTTTTTTTTTTTTTTAAATCCTCACCCGAGGACATTTTTCCATTTTTTGTTCAGGACTGGGAGGAAGAGAGAGAGAGAGAGAGAGAAATATCGATGTGAAAGGGACACATCGAGTGGCTGCCATCCACATGACTAACCAGGGCTGGGGACAAACTGCAACTGAGGTATGTGCCCTTAGCAGGAACCGAACCCAGGTCTCTCTGGACCGCAGGCCGACATTCTAACCACTGAGCCAAATCGACCAGGGCCTAATACAATACATTTTTTAAAAAAATAAATAAAAATAAAAAATATTGAATATCAATCAAACTTTGATTTAAACAAATGTAGATACTGGTATAAAGCTGTTCTAGTTTACTTAATTTGAACTAACCCAGAGTTACTGCAATCTAATAAATAAAGGCTTTTGTAGTCTCTTAAATATCAGTGCTAACCCTATTGTAATATAAATACCACTTTGATGATAAATAAAGCATTTTAAGATGTAGCACTTATATTTTTGGCTCTAGTGTTTGTAAATATAAGAAAATGATAAATTATTTTTCTGTTTGTTTGTTTTTTTTATCATCCTCACCCGAGGACATTTTTCCATTTTTTGTTCAGATAGAGTGGGAGGGAGAGAGAGGAAGAGAGAGAGAGAGAAACATCGACGTGAAAGGGACACATCGAGTGGCTGCCACCCGCACAACCAACCAGGGCCGGGGACAAACTGCAACCGAGGTACGTGCCCTTAGCGGGAACCAAACCCGGGTCCCTCCGGACCACAGGCCGATGCTCTAACCGCTGAGCCAAACCGGCCAGGGCTAAATTATTTTTCTGCAGTCTCTCTTACGTTTAAAAAACTTCTATCAAAAATCTCAAATGTAGCCCTGGCCGGTTTGGCTCAGCGGTTAGAGCGTCGGCCTGCGGTCCTGAGAGACCCGGGTTCGGTTCCCGCTAAGGGCGCGTACCTCGGTTGCAGTTTGTCCCCGGCCCTGGTTGGTCGTGCGGGTGGTGGCCACTCGATGTGTTCCTTTCACATCGATGTTTCTCTCTCTCTCTCCCTTCCTCTCCCTCCCACTCTACCTGAACAAAAAATGGAAAAATGTTCTCGGGTGAGGATAAAAAAAAAAAAAAAAAATCTCAAATGTAGCTTCTAAGATCTTTCTGTATGCATAAGAAACTTTGTTTACATACTAGAGAAAATAAAATTGATGACCAAAGAAATGATGAGCAAAGGCTACGTAAAACGCCTAGTTAATAACTTGCAAAGTAGGTTGCATTAGAAAGTGTTCTTAGTAACTTGGTGATGGATTGTCTTTATTTTTATTTTTTTATTTTTTTATTTTTTTAATCCTCACCTGAAGATATTTTTCCATTTATCATCAGATAGAGTGGGAGGGAGGGGGGATGGAAGAGAGAGAGAGAAAAAGAGAGAAAAACATCAATATGAGAGAGACACATCGACAGGCTGCCCAACCAGGGCCAGGGATGAACTGCAACCTTGACTGGAATTGAAACCAGCCATGGCTATTTTTATTTTTTAAAATATATTTTTATTGAGAGAGAGAGGAAGGGAGAGAGTGAGAGAGAGAGAGAAAGAGAGAGAGAGATAAACATCGATGAGAGAGACATACCAGTTGGCTGCCTCTTGCACACCCTCCACTGGGGATTGAGCCCACAACCTGGGCATGTGCCCTGACCAGGAATTAAACCAGGACCTCTCAGTCCATGGGGCAACAC